TATATATAAAGGGCTTGAGGAACACTGACAGAGGCACATCTTGTCTATGCTCCTGCTGCCTTCATACACATAGGGCACCCAATGTACCACACTATACCACGATCTATAGTCCCTGGGATTTAAGAGGTGTTTAACCTACTTCCTATTCAAGTTCCAGATTTATAACACAGACATAATCTTTCTCCCCCAAATGACTCACCATAGGATTTCTATGAGTAATGGCTCATCAAAGCTGTCATTGTTGTTTTCTCTATTTTGTAGTGGTAGAAAGGCTTGGGATTAGAGAAAAGTGAGTCTGCTTGATGTCACTGCCATCAGATGACTCACTAGAGAGAGGAAAAAGTATCCTAGATAAGGAAAATAGACACTTATGAAGAACATACTCCACTTGCAGAAGCCTTTTGAGGAATCCCCATACATTCTACTACCCATTGGAACTGCAGAGTTCCATTTAGTAGGCAGGGACCTGTCCTGGGCTTCTCCATGACAAGGACATTAAGATGTATGGGAATAAAGAGGAGGAGAGTTCGGTCTGAATAATGAAGTGTTTTTATTGTTTAATATCAGCAATGAAATAAAAGTTGTCACTTTTCAGTCCAATTTGGGGCAAGTCTAAATAGCTGAAGTGTGACTCCTCATCTGTGACATGCGATTAATACCATCCTGCCTATTCATCAGGGTTTTACAAGAAATGAGATGATCCATGCAATGCAAAGCTCTGCACAAATTTATAAAGTCTAAGACAGATATACACTCCTTAAAAACTCAAGGGGAAAGGGAAAGGTAATAATTATCTCTTTATCTCTTGTAAATAACATAAAACAGTAGAAAATTATTCTTTTCCTTTGAGAGTTGTAGATCACAGAAACCATCACATTCTTGTGTCAAATTATCAATTTTTGCTCTGTCAACACGTGGATGGGTTTAAATGAATTTACTTTAAAGTATTTTGATATATGAAGGCGTGTGTGGGGGGGTGGCAACTGGGTGAAAACAAGCACTTTATGTACTAGTTATCAATCTATTGGCTCTTAGCTCCACGTCTACCTTTCTTTGCCTGGCTTTGTGATGGCTGGACAGAGGCTGGACTCTAAACATCTCTTGACAATTAGTTATTAGGCTAACAGCACTGATGTTCTCAGTATTATTATGCAGCAAGGTTGCTGCGCAAATGAGGTCTAGCTGTGCCCATTTGCTACTGCACATCAACACCGCCTGAGAGCTCTGGCCACTTACTTCACCACCAGCAGGTTGTGTGCTAGATCAAGGAATTTTAGCCTTGGAGTAAAGGGGACCCTCTATATACCCCATGCTTCCTTTATTGTCCTTTCTTCAGCAAGAGCCAGAACTCCAAGCCCAAGGCCAAACTGAGGTGGAGATAAACAGGGACAGAAACAGACTGAGGGAAACACTGACCCCAAAGTAAATTTCAACCCTTCCTTCAGCCCAGTTGCTTTACAAGCAATTATGGGAGCACTGTCCTAGGTCTAAGAGGTTGTCATCAGTCAGTTACCTAGGGAATTTGTAGCCTAAATTCTCTTTACTAGGCCAGTCTTGGAAATGTAACCTATTAATTTAGCTTAAAAGTTGTCTTGGGCTGGGGTTGTAGCTCAGTGGCAGAAAGTGTTCTTGGCAAAAACAAGGCCTTAGGTTGTCTCCAGCCCTAAATAAATAAATAAATAAATAAATACAGCTCTAATCTTGGAAAATTCCAAACCTGGAAAAGGAAAATAGTAATTAAAAGTAGTTCTCAGATTTGGAAGTAACTTCTACCCAGAACAAAGTCCAACATTTTTTTTTTTGTACCAGGGATTGAACTCAGGACCTTGTGCTTGTGAGGCAGGTGGTGGCCCTGAGCTAAATACCCAGCGAAGTCCAACAGATTTTAAAGGAAGAAAACAAAATCTAGAACTGAACAGCAAGAGGCAGCAAACTACAGCCTGTAGGCTAAATGTAGCCTGCTGTTTCTGTAAATAGTTCTCCCGGAGCACAGGCATACCTAGTCATTTATGTCTATGACTAATTCCAAACACAGTACACAGAATGTATGGTCCATGAACCCTAAAACATCTGCTATCTGGCCCTTTATAGAAAATGCTGATAACTCTCCACACCCCAGGGCTTAGATAATTACTATTTAACATAATTATTGCTGGGCTGGATTTAGAAGTTTCATTTTTTCTGGTTTGTCTCTGGGGTTTTGTTTCTACTTTGCTTTTTTTTTGTTTCTGTTTCTCTCTTTCAGGTTTGCTTTTGGATTACTCAAATAACTTATTAATGCATTTTAATATCTATTGGTTATACATGCATCATTTTAATGGTTGCTCTAGAGATTAAAATATTCATACCTGAAGTTTTATGGTTTGAGTTAATTATTCCTATTATACTTTGTGTGAACTGTAAAAGTTAAGCAACTAAAAACTGGGGACAACTCTGAGACTGAATATAAAGACAGTGGGCCGAGTACATGGCAACACAACTCTGACCCATAACCAAGCCAAATCACAATCCCTGCAGTGATCCACTCAGAATGGTCAGGGCTTGGTCAGCAGCTGTAACATCCCAGTGTTTGCCCCACTTTCAACTCAGTACCAATGAGAGAAAGTCAAACAGGTTCCCTACACAATCACAGAAAATAGCTTGTCTGCTACTTGGTTGGGCTCCAGTTTTGCATGGCAACAGCTTCCAAGCAGAGCAGGCAGTTCTTTTTCCTCCCCCACTGTAAAGCTGCATCAATATACACCTGTGCCTACAAAACACAAGTAATCATGCCTGATTTCTCTACAACTATTGAAATAGTCTGTTCTCACTTTTGGATGGTCTTTATTTCCACAAGTCAAATGGTCAACAGCACAATAAATGTGGTATCACATAACGCACCATGATGTAAAAATGCAAATGAATAAGCTACAGTTATATACAATTTGGATTGTACAAGCACATTGATAGAAAAAATGATAAACAATACTTAACAGTATTTCATTTAATTTACTAAAGTGTAACAAGTCCAAAAGCATAAAACCAAAGATGCTTGGCCATACTTTGGAGACTGTATTGGCATCAGGGCACTCCTTCAACACTTGGCCAAACTAACAACTCTCCCTTAGCCTTGCTTCCTAAAGATTAGTCAGAGAAAGGCCTCAAGTCCTCTCAGGCTGTTAGTGAAAATGTGTTCAGTCCTTGACTGTGTGGGGCTTTCCAGACTCCCTGGTGTAGTAGTGAAGCCCTAATTCCTCCAGGTTTTTTGGTCTGTTTGCCCTGTCAACTGTCAACTGTTCCTACCCTCAGTGGCTGCAGGTAGCCTATCTTTAAATGCTTTTAATAGTGCCTGTGAAGTTGGTCCAGGCTAGGTAGGGTGAAACTAAAGCAGACCTCTGACGTGAACCTCAAGGAACAACCAGATCAAAATGCACAAGACACATTTCTGCGAAGGCAAGACCTGCCCTGCACTCTTTGGTACCAATGAGCTGCACTAGAAATATAGGCTGCTGCCCTAGGAACTGGAAAGCTAGAAAAAGGGTTGTAAGTGTAAGTAAAAACCCCAAAACTCTTTTATCATGATTTAGTAGCTTCTTCACTAAGCAACCCCCTGGTTGTTCAAATGTTTTAGGAGTATCTGTGCTTATTTTTCTTTTTAAATATCCAAAAGTTACATGGAAAAATGTTATGGTTAAATAAATCTAAAATAGCTTTTAATAAGTAAAATAAATTTCAAAAAAAGCACCATACTATAATATAATTCATTGTGATTTTTCTTCATTTTTGGCTTTTTGAGATAGGGCCTTGCTATGTTGTCTAGGGTGGACGGACGTGAACATGCAGTCCTGCTTTGGCCTCCCAAGTGCAGGATTACAGGTGTATACCACCACTACCTGGTTTGTGATTTTTTAACTTGTATATCAAATAACAGCACATCTTAAAATTAATGGTATCTCAGATCTGATGATGATGCCAAACTTCAGAATGAGGAGCTTGACTGACAAGAATGTTTTGACTCATGATGCCAGCTTTGGCATCAATCATCAGTGTTGTGGCTAAACACTGACAGTACCTCATAGTGCAACAGGATAGACTGAGTCAGGAAGCACAGAGTCATCATTCACGTTTTTGTTTACTATATACACAGGACAACAAACATTCAGGAACAATGGGAAGGGAATGTATAAAACTAACAGAAAAGGAAGAGATTATAAAATACAGTATCACTACAAGACTTTTATACAGATACTTCAATGTTTTAATATTTTCAAACACTTGCTAAATAAAGTACTTATAACTCAAAATGCTAAATAATTGTTAGTCTTTGACTAAAACTTCTAAAGAATAAATTGTTGGTGAAAACTCAAACTTGTTTAGTAAGCTCTGACCTTGTATTACTTATAGATGTCAAGATGATCATGGTTAATACAAAATTAAGCCTTTACAGATTATTATTTATGCCTAATACTGATTTATTAACTCAAAATATCAGAGAACACATTATCAAGTTATAAAGCTTTATTAAAAACCATCCTTACTAAAGTTTTAATACTTAAATGTAAATATATGTGAAATCATTCCTAACTGAAACACAAAGCTATTCTTGCTAGGGGTATAAATACTGTCCTATAGTCATTACTGTTTGCAAGTCTTTTCTTTAACATAAAACTTTGAAAGAAAAACTTAAGCATATATATCAAAACTCCTAACTACTCCGTGTATTTATCATTCTATTAACAAATGTCTTAGGAATTAAGTAGTACATTAAAGCCATAAATCATCATCTCCTCTCAAAGGACTATTATTACTCAATTATCTAGAAAATCATTTTTATGCTGTGCCTTATGAGGCTGAGGCTGGCCTACAGTGGGTAAACAGACCCAGTTTTTCCCCCTTTATAAAGTTTTAATTTTTTCTTGAAACAGAATTTGGGAGTTGGGTATTGGATTCAGGTAGAGTATATTTATATTTTATTGAACAGACTGAAGAATAAGCTGATGGTATATAATTTTACAGCACACATCCTTATTAAACTGACAAAAATGCTTTAAATAACATTTTGAACATATATCAAAGACCAGCAAGTTTCAAATATAATGCAGTAATCAAACTACTTAACTACCCTTTTATCAAACTTTGACAAACACATTCAGTCTTCATTGTCTGAGCAAATCAGCTTTAGTTTCTTCATAGTCCGCCATCTGTCTTTTAACATGACACTTGTTCGGTTGTTGAATTTGTAACGTAACAGTATTTTGGTCCAGTTTCCCTCTCCGTATTTCCTCACACCAGATTTCAAATTCTTGTCTTCTTCCCAAAGCCATGGCTTTTGATAAAAAGTAGAACAGTTACTCACACTTACATTTCTTTGAAAAGAACATATCTGGTGTAATATAACTTTTTTAACAAAATAATGAGTATAATTTCTTAAAGATGGAAGAATTTCTCTACACAGTACTTAGATTTTTAAAGACATTATCTTTATCATATAACTTTCTAAGGGTAATTATTGTTCACTTTACATAAGCTCAGCTGGCCAAGATTGGGAAGCTAGAAAGTGACAGAGCTCCTGCCACCCAAGCTGTTCAGCTTTACGCTCACATCACCTGCCTATCTAGAAGTACAGTACTGGGGACTGAACACAGGACCTCCACACTGAGCTACATCTTTTACCTTTCTATTTTTTAAATTTTAATTTTTAAATTTTTTTGGTACCAGGGATCGAACTCAGGACGGTGAGCTTGTGAGACAGGCGTAGCACCACTGAGGTAAATCCCTGGACCCGCTTTTCATTTTTCGAGACAGGCTCCTATTAAGATGCCCAGGCTGGGCTCAAACTTGCCATCTTTCTTTCTTTTTTTTCTTTTTTTTGGTACCAGGGATTGAACTTGGGTCCTTGTACTTGCGAGGCAGGCGGTAGAAGCACTGAGCTAAATCCCTGGCCTAAACTTGCCATCTTTCTGCCTTAGCCTCCTAGAGTCTGAGATTACAAATTCATGCCACCACAGCCAGCTCTCATACTTCCTATTAATCCTTTTATATAATTCTTAATAGATTCCTTCATAATTCTAAATAGAATTTATAAATATTTAGTACTTCTTTAACGAACTCTGTGAAAATCCTGTTCTGCTTGTGTCGGGGGAAGTACACACAAGGATATAAAACTCAAGTCCTCTAAAACAGATTTTTAAAAACTCAACTAACATAAATTTAAGACATACATTTTATGTTGGAGCAAGTAACTGCAATTAAAAAAAAAACATAATCCACATATGGTAAAACTACTGACCTCTGGCATTTGCTACAAATGACCAACTGTTCTACTGACATGCTAAAAGGAGAGGTTTGACCATATGAATGATTATCTATTATGGCTGCACTATAAGAAGTACCCCAGCAGACTTTCACATTTTTAAAGAAAATTTAATTTATCACCTCACGCTATTAAAAAACAAAAAAGCTCATAATTCCAAACTTGGGAGATTATATAAACAAGGAAGATTATGAATTTGAAGACAGTCTAGGCTATAAAGTGAGACACTGTCTCAAAAAACCAAACCAAAACAAACCAACTAACCAAACTGAAATTGGTGATGATGCGGAGAAAATGAAACCTGTATGTATATTGTTGGTGGGAATGTAAGATGATGCAGCCACTATGGAAAATACAGCAGCTGCCTCAAACAAATAAATAAAACTACCATATAATCCAGCAATTCCACTTTGGGGTATATACTTAAGTATACATCCTGGAGTGTACACTCTAAATCTCTGGTCTGCAACAGCAGGAGTGCTCCCCAACCTATTACTGCTCCAAAGGTAGAGACAGCAGGGCTGCAAAGGACCACGCAGACCAACAGTATGTGCAGGACGCAAATCAAAAGTAGGAACTGCTTGTTATGTCATTAAGGGAAAAAATCAAGGCCAAAATAACCTTAGTCCCTAGTGGCCTGCAACTTTATGTTAGATGTCACACCTCAATAGGCACCATTTGCAAATAGCTTTCTAAGGAAAAGGACACAAACCTCAAAGTAAAAAGTTCCAGACAAAATAGAACAAGACCAGATTTATTTACCTGCTGTAGACAACTAAAAATATCATATGAAATATATCAAATATTAGTTTCAGATATTTGATGGTATATGACTGTACTTACTGAGCATGAAAATGAATTAAGCTCTAAAATTAAACCACCTTGAAAAAAATTCCGATCAAATGGTATAATTTTCTTTAAGTACAGAAGGATCTTATTTAAACTGGATCTATTAGGAAGATGTGAATTTAAAAGTTTGTAATGCAGTTGTTATTTCCACCTTACATGTGATAAACAGATTGTTATAACTTTAATGTTCATGAGTATTACTCAAATATAATAAAATATACCCTTTTTTTCCTATGTTGTGGTTTTTTATGAGTTACTGGTTGATTTGCTGAAGCAAGTCTTTTATTATCTCTTCTGTTTTCCTTTCTTCCACCTAAAATTAAAAATACTACTATCAAAAAATGTTTCATATTAAATAAAAATAAGGAATTGTATTTTTGAAGGCTGCAATAGGTTTGACGTTCCTATTTATTTTTAGCTATTCTAAGAAAAAGAACTCCACATATTTAATTTTTTCCTTCCAATCTGGAAGCAGTATATGAGTATCACAGTTGCTGAAAATCAGAGGAGGGATATTTTACATCTTTATTTTTTAAAAATGTCTTTAAAAAACTTATCTTCCTGAGCCTGGTGAAGAATGCCTGTAATCTCGGCACTCTGGGAGGCTGAGGCAGGAAGATGGAAAAGCTGGAACCCAGCTTGGGCAATTTAGTGACTTAGCAAGACTTTACATTAAAATAAAAAAGACCCTGAAACATAGCTCAGTTCTAGGGCCCTGGGTTCAATCCCTAGTAAATTTCCCACCCCTAACTACCCACACCAAAAAACCACACAGGATTTAAGTTTTCTTATAATAATATTCAGATGCACTTGACATAACATAAGAAGCATAACCCTTTCTTCACTCTTTTTTTTTTTTTTTTTGAGATAGGGTCTCACTATGTAGCCCAAGCTCGAACTCTTTGCAATCTTACTGCCTTTAGCCTCCCAAGTACTGGGATTACAGGGATAGACACCATGCCTGGCTCCTCTCTCCTTTCATATTCAGTTAATTTAGTAATCCAAGAAATAAATGTGTATATATAACAGATAAAAAACAGAACTGTAATTATGAAAAGATGGTAACTGCATAGATACAGAACTTAAAAGAATCTGCAAGTAAGTAAAATAGGTTGGCTACAAGACCAATATACAAAAGACAATATATATGCAAACATGTTAAAGAAATATAGTTTATGAGTAGGAAGACATAATTGTCAGTTTGTACCGAAATGATCTACTGTTGTACTGCAGCTTTAAAAATTTCAACAGAGTTCTTCGTATAATTTAACAAGATTCTTCTAAAGTTGTTTGTGTTGGGAGATGTAGTCAACCACAGTCCTGAGCATTCCTGCAGTTCCTGCTTAATGTACAAGGCTTATTCACTTGGGACACTGTGCAGTCTATAGCTAGTCAGGCAACTAAGTTGGTTAAGGATATCACAGGGTGACCACTGTGGAACTGCTCTCTCCTGAAGAGGATACTGGTTTGCTATTTGTTACACTGTTTTTGCAGCTTACTCAAAATGTGCTCGGCCCTAAGTTCCTCAGGTAAAATAAAACTTGCTTCCTTCATAGCATCCACTTTGGCCAGGTGTGGTGGCACACGCCTGTAATCCCAGCACTCAGGAGGCTGTGGAAGGAGGATCGCTGCAAGTTTGAGGCCAGCCTCATCTGCAGAGTGAGTTCAAGGTTGACCTGAACTGCATAGCAAGGCCCTGTCTCAAAAAACAAAAACAAAACAAAACATAGCATCCACCTCAGGCCACTGCATTTCCATGAGATATTAGCAAAACTACACTAAGACTATGATGTTTGTTATGTTGTGACTGTTTTACTGTAATTCACTGTAAGAAATTAGGGAAATAATACCTCTCAGAACCAAGAAGAATTAAATACTTAGAAATTAATCTAATCAAAGAAGTGAAAAATCTCTACAATGAAAACTACAGCACTCTGACAAAGGAGACTTGTGAGTACATCAGATACTGGAAAGATATACTGTTACTGTAGACTCTGTAATTAGAATGGTCATACTTGCTTTAAATCTATCTACTCTTATTGATCCAGTTCTGTCTCAGATATTAAGGTTATGGGTTCTAGAGAAAGACTGTCTGTTTTCAAATTCTGACTCAAGTTCTGTTTACACACTGTGTACCCAAAGTCATTTTACTTAATCTCTTTTTGCCTGAGTTTCCACATCTGTAAAATGGGCATGAAAAAATTTACATATCTCATAAGGTTGACTGAGGATTCAATGCGTTTACATATAAAACTTTTAACTCAAATAGTAATCACAATTTTGCCAAATGTACTTTTTCTGCATACCAGGAACATGGATGATTTTTTTCTTTCTAACTTTTCTGAAATACTTTATTTTCTTCCTAAGCACATGTCAATTAACAAAATAAAAATTTGTTTTTGTACATGTGCTATCAAGGTGAGCACCATAAATTTACATTTTTGGAAAAGAAAGTTTTTGCAGACAAAACTAGTGTCTTCAAAGTATAAAGAAAGGATGCTTGGGTACTACCTGAGCAAACAGTATTGTAAAAAATGCATATAACAAAAGGTGAAGAATGTGCTGCAACTCACAAGATCTTATAAATCAATAGCCACAGTCACTGTCAGCCACTGTACCATGATGAGTTGATGGTTTTCATGTGTTAACTGTTCCTTGAATTTTGTACTATGAAATTAAAAGTCCAAGATATAATTATATAATTCTAGTTTGAAATTGTAATTCCTGTCATTTTGCAGCAACAGATATAGAAAACCAGTTTTAGAATCTACCAACATTAGGCAAATAATTTCACTAAGTTTCAGTTTTCTTATCTTTAAAATAGGAGTGATGACAGTAACTATGAATGTAAATATTTTAGTGCTATACAGTATTCACAAATATTACTAAAAGTGGCCGTGTCCCCAGCCATGAGTTATAAATAAAACTGTTCAATAATATTAAGCATAGGCCTATTTACAATATGTTTAGCATCAAGCTGGTACCTTATGAACATAGAAAATAAGCCTAAATTCATTATACCTCATTTTTATTCTGATCAATGATTTTAAGTTTGGATCTATAAGGTTTAAAAATCTCTGCATTAATACAGTATCTAGAATACAATGTGGTTTCAATAAATGTTAAATGAGTATATACCAAGAAGGAACTTCTATTTTCTAAAATCTGTTTTCACTCCACTCAACATTAATGGCACTTTCAGAGTCATTGGTGAACATACACAAAGTGACAAAAATTTGAATCAGTGGACATAATGTTCCTAGCTGAGGTCAAAAAAGGTAATAGTCTGTCTATTTATTTTAATGCTTACAGTAGTTAAGTGTCTTTTTATTGGTTTAGCAACACATATTTTGCATTTTGGTGCTTTTTGTTGGTCATTTGCTCTTTAAAATCATCCCCACTTAGGTGGGTATATGCTTGTGCATACTTAACCCCAGCACCCGGGAGGCTGAAGAGGAGGATTTCAAGTTTGAGCCCAGTCTGGGTAACTTGGTGACTAAGACCTTGTCTCAAAATAAAAAAAGGGCTGGGGATATAGACTAGTGGGAAAGCACTGAGGCAAGCACCTAAGTGTTGTGGTGTTGCCCAGTGCAAGCACCTGTAAGTGTAATTTAGGTTTCAGAAAATGTGTGTGTTAACAAAAGTTACATTCAGGCATGCATTATAGTGCTACTGGCACCAATTCAATGTTTATGAAAACAATAAAGTGTCTTTAAATAGAAATACTCTTTAAAACAAGGTTATGTGCTGATCAACTGATAAAAATGTTGTGACCAAAGGCTCAAAAGAATCAAACCCTACATTTCCTGTAGGTGTAATAATTCAGTATTTGCTAATTCAACACTTTTTGTCTTTACAGAGTATAAATTTGTGAATAATGAGATTCGTCTCAGAAAAGTTAACTATTTGAAGTTCCTGAATATAGTTATGATAGAAAAGTAATATCACAACCACAGCAAAAGAATTCTAAGCTAGAATTCTAGCTTTCTAAATTAAACAACACTTCAAACCTTAACATTTAGCCTTTCTGGTGCTTTGATTTTCTAAAGTGTGTATTTTTTGGGTCACAGCGGTGAAGTGTATGATTGGATCATTTAGAGGCACATCATCTTTCCACTTCTAGAACTATTGTAAACAGTACTACTCACTTTGAAGAATTACCGCTCTCTCTTTCTTAAGGTCTTGCTGATAGCTTCCTTGTTTCAACTTAGATAAGAAGAGATTCTTGGGAGACCTAAATAAAATGCAACTGATTACAAAAAGACTAGTAAAGATATGGAAAAAACAGACAATTTATCTTAATATCCTGCCTGCTTATTTTGGTGCTTTCCTTGCCTACTGTCCCATGTTAACCTTTAGTCTCAAGATTTCTGTTGTTGGGTTTTTCTCTCTCATCTCTTTTCTCCATCTCATTTACTCAGAAATCAAGATTGTTGGCCTTTAAATTAGATCAAGAAAAAAATTCTTCAAACTATATACTTTTACCACTATAAATATTCTATTCTGGGCTGGGGATTTAGCTCAGTGGTGCTGCCGCCTGTCTCACAAGTGCAAGGTCCTGAGTTCAATTTCTGGTACAAAAAAAATTCTATTCTGTAACTATATATTATATTCTATCACTATAAGCATTCTATGCAATCAGCTAATAACCTTTTCCCTCTTTTCCTCTCCTCCAAAACTTTCCATTGTGCTCTCTGGAATGCCATTCTCAACCCCTTCATTAGTTTCTCTATCTGTCCTCTTGAAACAGTATTTCTCTCTTTTGTAGCCTTCTCAAGTAGACACTGGATTAATCTTCCATCTTCCATAAACTAGAGTGCCCCAGAAAGGAGTCTGTATAGTTGTTGTTGTCTTGCAGTGCTGGGGATCAAACTCAGGGCTTCACACATGCTAGGCAAGCACTCTAGTACTAAGCCCCAATACATAGTTTTCATTTCCTAATGAAGGGTACTTTCAGAATCATGCTGCCACAAAAACTTCAGCCCTTGAGGAATCATGCTACTGAGATATTACCACCTTTTACATTCTTCACAGCCACTCACTATTCTTCCAAGCAATGTCCATCATTCACAAATCTTTTTTTCTTTTTAAATTGTTTTTGGTACTTTCTTATACCAAGTCTTGCTATTGTGAATTATTTCAGTGTTTTCCTCAACAAGCCATGTAACATCCTAGCTTATCAAATCCACATCTCCAACAATCTCCTCCACACCAAGCTAGCCACTCCCCAACCCTGGTTCTACCTAGCATCCCAACCACTCTATTTAAATCATTCACACAGATATTCTGCTCTCTAGACATGTTAAGTGTAAACCCCTGCTGCATCACCTTATTTCTGTGACAGAATAAGAGTTTACTAAACATCTATTACTCCCTGTATGTCATTCCAATAATGGCCTTATAGAAATGTGAAACAATTCAGGACCCCAGAAGAAGGACTCTATAGTTTGAAATTTCAACACATCAGGATCTTGGGTATTTACTGAAATAAGGAAGATCCTGAGATATTTTTAATCATACCATTTACATGGCAGTTGTAAGAACATATTTAAGGTCTAAAGACAGAGAAGAATGTCAATTTGCTTCACTTCAATAAGGTTACTATACCCTCTGAGGATTCAGTTATGTCAGACTGTCACTAACACTTTAAAAGAAGAACAAAAGTCTTAAGACTGTAAAAAAGAAGAAACTTTGTATCAGGATAGTACTTTCCACATAAAAAACCTCTGGGAATACAAAAGCCTGGTTACAACATGGGTAATTTCTGCCCAGATATGCTTCCAATAGGTACAAATCAAACTTCCTCAAACAGATGCATTGTTAATGTTGTAACTGAACTTTCACAATATCACTCTTTCAAAAACGCTTCAATTATTTCCATGAATTTGTTTAAAAGCTTTACTGAGGCATAATTTATATGCCAAACACACTGGTTATGTTTAATGTATATCTGTTAATGAGTTCAATTTTCATTTGTCTTACTCATCAGTCTCCAGTTGTACTTTTAAATAGATTTTTCCTTTGGTGTAGTTAAAATAGCTTCCACAAACATAGCATGATCATTTTCATTCCATGCTTTCAATGATTTTATTCTTTCCTGAAATGACATCTCCTTTTCCACTTATCCCTAAAAGTCATAACCACCCTTCACATCCCTGCTCAAAACTAACATCTCTGTGAAGCAGTTAAATTTATCTATGGACTTTAGCAACAAATTATGTTTCCTGCATATAATTTTTACTGCCTTGAATAGGTAATAAGCTTAGCTGAGCAAATATTTATTTTATTTAGTCTTAATAAATGAAAGCTTTAATTTTTCTATTTCTTTGGCATTTGTAGGACCTCATCATCACACTTCTGATGCTATGCTTGCTACATCTGCATACTACTGATTAGCTAGACAAGAATTCACACTGGTCATCTTTGAGGCAGACCATGAACAGCAAATAAGAGAGCTTGCCTAAGAAAGAATAAACAAACAAATGAAAACAAAAAGAGACTCCAAAATTGGAAGGAACGAAGCAAGACTCTAAAGAAAAGTATTTAAGGTCAGTGAGAAGTTCTGGGTTGCTAGAAAGGATCATGCATGTGGGCAGGGAGGGAGTAGTCCCCCTCCCTTTTTTTTATTAGTACATATTGTCTACATTCCTTGTGGGAAACAGGCACACATACAGAACACATCTTAATTCCTTTTTTCATCCCCTTTCCCTTTCCTCCCTCCCTCTTCCATCTGGCTCCTGATTCCCTTACTTTTTTTGTTGTATGTTTGCAAAACACATTTACACTCCTTGTGTGGAGTTGATAAATGTACATACACATCTTAATTCCTTTTTTCATTCCTATTCCTTCCTCTTCCTTCTCTCTCCCTTCCTCCATCTCTTCCCCTTTGAGAAAGACCTATCTCCCTACTTCCTATTATCTATCTCTTATTTTCCCCTTTATTTATATTTTGAGTTCCTCATATAAGAAATCATGCACTATTTATCTTTGGAGGATATGTTTCAGAGCCCTCAGTGGATGTTTGAAACTAAGGATAGTACCAAACCACATACAGTGGCGTACTCTCTTGGTTTTAACTTTTGAAATTTCAGTTATTAGCTGTTCACCATAGCCTGAAAATATTAAAGTTGCAGAAATAAACAATTCATAAATTGTGTACTTTCTATAGTGTGATAAAATCCTGCATCCTCTCCTCCACTCTGCCCTGCATGGGACATGTTATCAGTGCTTGTGTCCAATAACCATTTTTAAAAATTGCAACTTTGGTCCAGGGATTTAGCTCAGTGGTTCTGGCGTCTGCCTCACAAGTGCAAAAATTGCAACTTTATTTGCTGGCTGGGGTTCAAACCTAGGATCCCACACCCATTACACAAGTAATTAGTATATCACTCATATATATTCTCTAAGGGCCAAGGATGTAGCTCAGCAGTCAAGCGCTCATAGTGCTGCCATAATAAATGGAAGGAAGAAAGGAAGGAAAAAGAAATTCACAGTTTTTCTAATGCACATCAAACTGCAAAGTTACTGCTATAGTGCATGGTAAATGCTTAGATAAGAAGGAAAAGATATTAAATTTGTGGGTGGAGTCAGATGTGATGGTGCATGCCTGCAACCCTAGCACTCTGGGAGGCTGAGGAAGGATGACGGCAAGTTCAAGGCCAGCCTGGGCAACTTAGCAAGACTCTGTCTCAAAAGGGAGTGGGTGGGGCAGGGCACTGGGAATGTAGGATACCATCCTCAGTACACACACAAACACACACACACACAAAAGTGAATGGAAGACATGAACAGAAAAGATGCTCTCTCTGAAGGCAACATGTCAAATCCTGAAGCACTATATATAGAGCAGTCTCCTTTTATACCTGGGAGATATGTTCCAAGCCCCAACACTAAACAGTTCTAATAAGCAAGCACTTTTCAAAACCTGTAGCAGTAACTTTTGCAGTTTGAGGTGTCAGCAAAACTAGCATTAATTTTTTCTTCCTGCACAATTTCACAGACCTTAGTAAGGTCAACATAAAAAATTTTTCTTCCCTAAGTTTCACCTTTCCACTTACAGGAAGCTTCCATTTTATGGGTTTTCTGTGACATATCCAAACCGCCAATATCCCTACTTTTATAGTTTGGGCCATTATTAAGTAAAATAAGAGTTACCTGAATAAGCACTGTGATATTCTAAATATCAACTGATAACTGAGATGGTTAAGAAGGGACATGACAGACAAAACCATGATTTACATCCTGCCTGCGCAGCATGAATGTGTGAGATTTCATCAAGCTATGCAGAAAGATACACAATTTAAAGTTTATCAATTATTAATTTCCGCAATTTTCCATTTAATATTTCTGGACCATTGCTGATGGCTGTAAGTGAAAGCATGTATAAAAGGAAACTAAGGAAAAAAAAAAACAGAAGCCATGAAAGGCTTTATGTGCCACATCAGTAAATTCTGACATATTTAATAAGAAGAGGAGCAAAAAAGTTCAGCTGAGAAGTGAACTAAACATTTACTTTTGTGAAAGCTAACTCTGGAAGTGGTATTAGAATGGAGTGGTAATAATGTAGGATATAAATGATGAAGAAAAATGAATTGCAGAAACAGTTTTCAGATGGGATTCTAATACTTGGAGGAGACACTACTAGATATGTGAGGAAGAGGCAAGTGCAGAGGTAGAGGAGAATATGAAAAGACACTTTAACTGCACTATGTCTGTGTCTAGGAGAGCACTTGAAAAAAGGAGGTACTATATAAGGAGAGAATATAGGAAATATGTTCATAACCTTTATCTTCAAGAACCATGGCATAAGTTTTTCTTTTATTTTATAGGAATACTACATTGGGCAGGTAGGCATGGCTACAAGAATGTACTGGGTCGTACCACTGCTCCCGGTGTAGAGGAGGAGGCTTCTGGGCCACCATACCACCACTCCCAGCCCAGATGACGTGAGCCACACAGGCGCCAGGAGCACACCTCCCCCCCCCACACACACTCAAAAGGAGAAGACATGTAAACAAGTCTCAAAACCAGACTTAAAGATCACCTATAGCAACCCCAAAGGGAAAGGAGATGGAACACTCTGATACTCAAGCACCTGAACTCCTGGAACTGGCAACAAAAGAGGATGTGGAAAAAATGAAATCAGAAATAATTTCTCAGATAACAACAGAGATTGTGCCCATAGCGCAAGATGAAATTGACAAATCTAGAGAAGAGCTGAGGAACATGATAGAATCCTAACATAGGAAA